GTAATCAGTTTTGACGGGGCTCAGTCTGATCTGTCTTGAGATATATATATATATATATATATATATATATATGTATGTATGTATGTATATATATATATATATATAGGAGTTCATTCTCATTTGATCCTAAAAATACAGGCAGGCTACTGTCGAGGATTTTATAAGGTTAATGTGAAGCTGCTGAGTATTAACATCCCCCATACATGTCGCACCCACCCACTGCCTGTCCTTAGGCAATCTCCTGTCACCTTTTGGCCACATTATTCTGTCTTCATTGTCGTAATTTGTCTCAGACCTTGTCTGCTGATTGGACACAGTTGTCTGTTTGTTCATTCTCTGCTGATCGACAGAAAGGGGCTTAAGTGATGTGCTCTCTTTGATGCTATGTTTACGTATGTTTACGCTTCCAAACCCAGGCAGTAGGGTTGGTAGTTGCACCTGTGGTTCTGATGGCAGGAACTGTGTTTGCTGCTAGCGAGGAGAAAGAGGACACCACTTTGAGGACAGAAGAGGTACTGTATTTCTCCTCACGTGGCATCTTTGTGTGTCTGGCAGGTTACTGAGTCTTATCGCTCATTTTGTGTTGCAGCTTTCTCTCTACACTATACCCCAGCAAAAATTCAAATATGTGGAACCAGAAGAAGGACAGATAGAACAGACTGTGGCCCAGATGAGGCAAACTGTTCAGCCCTACACCAGCCGATATCAGGTGACCATCTGCCTGTACCCTGCCCTGTGTCAGGTGCACTCTTCCTCACTTTGCAGGCTTGGCTCCCTAATCAGTAAATATAATTGTTCTGACAGTCAATTCCAGTTTTTTTATGCAAGTCCTGAAAAGCAACTGGTCTGTTGTAACAATTGTTCTTTAGATTTTTGCCTGTGCTTGTGCCTCTGCTTTTTCTGATTGAATCTGCTGCTCTTCTGGTTCCCTTTCAGCAAACCGGCCTCAACGTGTTTGAAAAAATTCAGGTATTCTCTTCGCCATGAGCACATCCATCACTCACCATTACCTCTTTGAATCAGACTAGTTGAAAAGTTTCCCTGCTCAAATGTAGCGGCGATGGCGAAACAGTCACAGTTAAGATGGCAGCACCTCACTGCTAAATGAAATGGACAGGCCAGGGTTTTACATGCTGCTGTGTCTCAGGTGTCTGTCATCAGAGAGAGAGATGGTGCTGCTCTCAGTCACTCTCTGAGCAACAGCATTGGTCCTACCCTTGCATACCTTCCCATACCTGCACGTTTAGACTGCAGTCATCCATCCGAGAGCCCTTTCTGCTTCAGAGATTATGCCTTTTTCTGAAGAGTATCAGGTCAATGGGATTATAGTTGCATGCTTCTGAGGTTCTAGTGTGGCACGTGACGCCTCTGGTATGGGCCGTGATGTTGGATTGGGCTTCCCGCTCATTGCTAAAGTGCATAAAGTCATGGCCAAAATTATTGGCAGCCCTGGAATTTTTCCAGAAAATGCACCATTTCTCCCAGAAAATTGTTGCAATTACAAATGTTCTGGTATATTCATGTTTATTTCCTTTATGTGCATTGGATAAACACAAAAAAGCAGAGACAACTAAGCCAGATTTGACATCATGTCACACAGAACTCCAAAAATAGCCCAGACTTAATTATTCGCACCTTTTCAAAATTGTGGGTAAATCGTTTTATTTCGAGCATATGATGCTCGTTTGAATTCACCTGTGGCAAGAAACAGGTGCTGGCAATATAGGAGTCACACTTGAAGCCAGTTATAATGGAGAAAAGTTGACTCAACCTTTCTGTTGTGTGTCTGTGTGTGCCACACTAAGCATGGAGAACAGAAAGAAGAGCAGAGAATTGAACAATCTCAGGTCTATCTCCAGAGATCTTCATGTTCCTTTGTCCACTGTGCACAACATAATCAAGAAGTTTACAACACATGGCTAATAGCTAGCTATTCTCTCTGGACGAGGACAGAAGAGAAATGAGTCTGAATGGTGGATAAACAGCCCCAATCAACTTCTAAACAAATTCAAGCTGTTGAGAGTGCAACAGTGTCAGCTCGAGCTATCCGTCAACATCTGAAGGAAATGAAACACTATGGCAGGAGACCCAGGAGGGCCCCACTGCTGACACAGAAATATTAAAAAACCAGACTGGAGTTTGCCAGAATGTACTTGAGGAAGCCAAAATCCTTCTGGGAGAATGTCGAGTGGACAGATGAGACCAAGGTAGAGCTTTTTGGTAAAGCTCATCATTCTACCGTTTACAGAAAATGGTACAAAGAAAAGAACATGGTACCTACAGTCAAACATGGTGGAGGTTCAAAGATCTTTTGCTGCCTCTGGCACTGGGTGCCTTGACTGTGTGCAAGGCACCATGAAATCTGAAGACTACCAAAAGATTTTGGGGCACAATGTAGGGCCCAGTGTCAGAAAGCTGGGTCTGCGTCAGAGGTCATGGGTGTTCC